CTGGGCTGGAGCTCAGGTTCTGCGACTCCCTCCCAATTGTTCGCGCCGCTCCCTCCGAGCCGCCGTCCGCGCCCAGCCCCCACTCCGCGCGCACTCGTACCTCAGAATTTCACTTCAGCACTGTGCCTCCTCTGAGTCTGGATATGATATTCTCTTTACTCCTAGTTGTAGAATTTCCACTCAGCCAGCCCTCCTGTGGTTCTGGATGTTGTCCGTTCCCTGGTTCAAGCTTAATTTGAATTGGTTGTTCAAGGCAGCAATCTCCGGTGTTAACCGATGCCGCCATCTTCGGTTCCAAAAGCCAAATTTTTTAAACTTAAACTATATAGGTAGGTACATGGTTATTAACTTAATTAGGGTACTCCTAAGCTGGCTTTGCTAAAAACGTCCCCAGTCTGATTGAGGTACATTCGCTGAGGTCGACCCATTCTTTACCTGAATTGTTGTATCTATAGAAAATTCCTATGCTCCCCTGCCGTGGACCCCAACTTGGGAGTCAGAACTGTGGTACACAAACAATTTTCTCCATTAATAGATAGGAAAGGCTTATTAGATAGGGTGAAGGTGGTTCTAAAATTGATATTAAAGATGTTTCCTAGGTAGCAAAGACTCAGTATTATAAGCTGTCAATCACACCTAAATTAATTTCAAAACGTAATAACCTTTTATTTGGGGGATGAGGACATGAGCAAAATATAAACTTTCCTATTAAATAAACTTGTAAGAGGAGCCAGGATAAATTGGGGGAGGGGAGGAGAGAATATTAAAACATCATATAACTAGTTATAAAAAGTGCTTTGGTAGCAGAGAGAGAATAGAAAGATTAACAAAAGAAAAGTAAGCCTATGAGAATAAAGTACGTGACAAAGGTGACATGCCAAATCTGTGGGAAAGATGGATTAGTTCTTAAATGATGGTAGGTCAACAGATTAGATCATGAGGATGGCAGCCACAGGCATGGGGACAGGAGTCAAAGCCCTTCCTGGGATACCAGCTGTAAATGTAATAAAACGAAGCCATGAGAATACTAGAAGAGTGAATTTTTAAGAATTACTTCCTGAAGTGGGAAAGGTATTTATAAGCAAGACTTAAGAACCAGCAGCCATAAAGAAAGACACCCTGCCCTAACCGGTTTGGCTCCGTGGATAGAGCATCGGCCTGCGGACTGAAAGGTCCCAGGTTCGATTCCGGTCAAGGGCACTCTCCTTGGTTGCAGGCACATCCCCAGTAGGGAGTGTGCAGGAGGTAGTTGATCGATGTTTCTCTCTTATCGATGTTCCTAACTCTCTATCCCTCTCCCTTCCTCTCTGTAAAAAATCAATAAAATATATTTAAAAAAAAAAAGAAAGAAAGACACTGATAATACTAGTATGACCTCCTAAATACTGTGGCAAAAATTACCAATAATATATTCATGGAAAGATTCATGGGAGAAACTATATCATATGCTAGAAAAAGGGCTGATTTTCTTAATAAACATGGAATTCTTATAAATCAGTAAGAAAAAGATGGAAAAAAACAAAGTAAAAACTGGCCAAGAACAGGTAGTTCTCAGAAAAGAAATCAAAATGACCAATAATATTAAAAGATGCTAAACTTCATTTGTGTCCAACACAATGCATAAAAAATGCAGACAGTTTTTCATCCATCATATTGAAAAAGATGAAAAGGTATAATACAATGTTGGCAAGGATATGTGGGGGTGTAAATTCATAGCGCCATAAGAGGAGGCAATTTGGTAGGATTTTTATAAAGATTTTTTTAAATATATTTTATTGATTTTTTACAGAGAGGAAGGGAGAGAGATAGAGAGTCAGAAACATCAATGAGAGAGAAACATCGATCAGCTGCCTCCTGCACATCCCCCACCGTGGGGGATGTGCTTGCAACCCAGGTACATGCCCTTGACTGGAATCGAACCTGGGACCCTTCAGTCCGCAGGCCGACGCTCCATCCACTGAGCCAAACCGGTTTTGGATGGTAGGATTTTTTAATAATCCAAACTGCAAACATCCTTTGTAAGTTATACAAACCTACAGGTACATTTTCACACCTAAAAAGATACCTTCACAAAGATATTTGTACCAATGTTTGTAATAGAAAAACAAAAAGAAGCAAAGAAATAATAACCAATGGCACTAGAGCAGTGGTTGCCAACCTTTTGGACCTCAGACCACTGGTGGTCCACGGACCACCAGTTGGCGACCGCTGCATTAGAGCATGCATTAGAGCATGAATAAGTTGGGGTACATTTAAAAAGTAAAATGCTATACAGCCATTAATAAGATGACTTATAGGGGAAGATCTTCAAGATTAAAGTAAAAAGCAAGCTGCAGAGTAGTATATGTAATATGATCCCATTTATTTAAAATATAAAGATTACATATTTGCTTATTATGCATAAAAATTTTCCGAGAATTACAAAAGAAACTGTTAATAGATTAAGGTTACTTCTGGAGAATAAAACTGGGGGTGAGATTTCATTTTCATTTTATAGCCTCCTATACTACTTTGAGGTTTTCTTTACTATGTATACTTTTTAAAATATAAAGTTGAGGAGGGATCCTCTTATTCAAGGATTGTGACCCATTCTTTTATGTACATTTCTCTAAGATCTATATTTGATTTTTTTCAAGGCAAACTGATGAGGTTCTCCACGTTTTTGCAAATATATATCTAACCAGAGGCCCAGTGCACAAATTCGTGCACAGGTAGGGTCCAGCCAACCCACCCCAATTGGGGTGGGATGAGGGGCTGCTCAGGGTTGGCTGGAGGGGGGTAAGGGCTGCAGGGCAGTTGGCTAGCCAGCCCCGCCCCCTAGTCAAAATCCTGGTCGAGGGGACAATTTGCATATTAGCCTTTTATTTTATAAGATGGGCTCACACACATTTGCCAGGTGTTTTTTGTTTTTAAATCACATATTGCTATATTTTTTAAAATGACAAACCTTTACTAAAATGAGATGCTTGAATTTTTCTTTTTCAAAATCACTTTTTAAATTATGGAAGTAATATGATCATTGCAGAAAATAGAGAAAACATATAAGGGTGCAAAAAAAAGAACTAAAATCACATTTGACCACTCTTACCACAGTTAATATTTGGTGTGTTTTCTTTGCATTATATTAATGCATAGTAGTGTCTACATTTAAAATATGTGCATAATAACTGTACCTACAGGTGTATATCCTACCCCCCCAATATATAACAGGTACTCAATAAATATATTAAAAATTGAATTGAATTAGTATTGTACCATTTCTCCTCATTGAAAATTCTTTCTACACAAGGGATTTAGTTGATTTCTAGTTCTTAGGTAAAATAAATAACACTTAATGAATGTATTTATATCTAAACTTTTTCTGCATTTATGATCATTCCTTAGGAAAAATTATGGGATCAGAGAGTATGAAATATTTGTTACTGATGTTTTCCCAAAAGGTTATACCAGCTTTTACCTGAACCTCTAGCATAGCCTGTCTCACTATTTCCTTGCCTAAAACATTACCATTACCATTTTTAAAAGTCATTGTTATTTCATGGTGAAAAACAAAGTTTGCTGAAAAAATTTCTCCCTCCCATTACAAAATAAAGTCCTTCTACATGTTCACTCAAGAGTGGTATCTTCCAACCTAAAAGCAGGTTAAAAGAGGAACTGTTGAGCTTACTCCCTTTTTTAAGCATTATTCATTTAGTAGGATTCCGCTATCAAAAACATATGGATAAAGTAGCATGTAAGTCAGATTAAGAATCTTTTTCACATTATGCAAAGTGATGCCTCACTGATGTAGGAGACATTATCATAGCATCAATGTGTGTCAGAAAATTACTTCCTGCAGTGATATTTAAGGTAAGGTGGTCAGTTAACTTTCCTGAGATAGCTCCAGAGCAATACTGATAGGAAATCAGGCACATGACCTCAACAGAGCGCTGTGCAACAAAAAGATGCTAGGATAATAAAACTTAAAGCAAAAATAAGATCATTCTGATTTTTGGAAAAGATTTTTTATTCAGAGTTTAAGATTAAAAACTACAAGAATTTACTTGTAGCTGATGAGCAGAGAGAAAAAAACATAAATCATCTGGTTGGCTAGTTAAAATGCTCTGACTCAGAGTGAAATTACTCAGGGACATGTAGTTACTCTGTGTGGGCTTAGGAATTCTGGAGCAGAATAGTTCTAAACAAAACGTATCATCTCAGAGCACAGGGCTAACGGGATCTGAAATACTGAGTAAGAAAGCTAATAAAGGGAGGTTGTGAGACCTTTTGATTCTTTTAGGCTTCTAGCAGTTGGTTACCATATGCAAGGACCTAGCAGCGAGTTATTTTATCTCTTGACTTGTCTGGGTTAAACAACTTTAACCCACTAAGTAGGAATAAAGAGACACTTTATCGATCAGTTAAAAAACATAAAGTAGTCCCACCTCTCCAGTAGAATTTTAGTTGAATTAAATCATAAGAGAAACAATGATTATTGCACATAATGTACTTGTCACACTACATCTGTTGAGTAGAATTTCCATTCCAAGTGTTGTTTTCATCTTCGCCATCATCTTGAGTCCTCAATCTATATATCTTCCCCTCTTTTTTAAAGTCTTCTCCCCGTTTCTCCAGCACTCTTTTTCTGACAGGTTCCCTGATATAACAAAAGAGGGAGAAAAGAGAAGATGTCATAAAATGAAAACAGCAGTAACACAAAGCTGTTTCCTTTACAATTCTATTAGTATAGGCAACTATATTTTAAGGAAAGTTCATGGGAGATAATTATATCTACTATTACAGTAGATTTTATATGTTTTTGGAAGTTTAACTTCATCTGTTCACCAAGATAAACCAGCTAAATTGTAGTTTCTATTTCCATGTATTTCTTGATGACTTACTAAGCTTTAGAAGAGTGTGACTATCTGCCACCTAATCTTTCCTTTATTTATGCAAGCTGACATATTTACTAAAACATTTATAACTTACACAGCACCCTAGAAGCTATCCAAAGCTCCACTCATAGCCTAATTTCCAGAAATGGCTAATTAGCAATTTTAATCATTTTATAATGTTTAATAATTTATTTATGCAATTAAGAAAAAACAGGATTTCATCTGAAAATGGGAAGGAAACAGGTGAAATTTAAGGTAATTCATTTTCCAACACTAGAGGGGAACAGAAGCAAAAAGAAAACAGGAAAACAATAGAACACCAAGTAAGTTTTGCCTCT